CACAAATATAAATGTTCCTAGCATCACTTGTATGCATTATTATTTGTATATAATTTCTACAGATCCTCCCTGTCAGATACCAATCAACCTCGAAAAGTTAAGAAAACCTACTTTGTCTACCAAAAATTCTACGAAAACTTGTCGAGAGATAAATGTAACAAAAATGTTAGAAAAAATGAAACACGGGAGGTTTTGCGGATAACGACAAATGAAAGCTCTCGGCGCTTTTCGTCCGCCGCGAACGCACCAAGCGAAACCGTACACATTAAGACTGGAAAACAAGAGCATGTAGCACAACGAACCTTTGGTGCGGGTTCATCCTCGGAGTCGGAACTGCTTGATGATGACGCCGCTTTCTTCACAGCCGGCGTAGCAACTTTAGAGCTGGTTTAGCTGGTGTTTTCTGCAACAGATTTTAAAGTGGGCGATAACGGGAAAGTAAAGTATGGATTGCCTAAAAACACTTGGTTAGCACCATTTGATTTGCTATCTTGTTTTTTTTCACTTTTTATCTTTTGCCGATACTAATAAAGGAAAGTAAAGTAAAAAATGAAACTGAGCTTGGACCCGGTGAATGTTGTGTTCTTCGTCCCGGAAAAGGGAGAACGGGTGGCTTCAAACTAAATCATCCACAAAAAATGGGAAGACTACTCTCCATCCTTCAACAGCACATTCTACCACTAGGCAAGATGGCTTGCTCAAACCGGAAACAGGACGATTTTCAAGAGTAGGATGAAAAAAAGGCTAAATCTAACTGTGCTGAAAACATAGAAAACTAGTTTTTGAGCTCCTAAAATCGTAAAAAATACGTTTCCAGCTCATGTTCTGGAATTCTAGCTTCCCTACGCATGTTGAGAAATATGTCTGGTCTATTGGGCCAATTCGGTTCCAATTCAATGATAGTCGAAACTTTTTCTACTTCTTCTAACTTAACGACTTGAAGAAAATCGACCTCACACTTACCTTCCCTTTTTCTCGTCTCTTAAAAAATTTGCTTTACCTTCACAATGTTCAAAGACAGTTCTTCAGACAGTTCAGTTCTGTTTAAAGACAGTTTCAGACGATATTCCCGCGAAAAAATTTCATGGATGGTTGGTGTTCTCATATGAAACAGTGGAGCTCGATAAGTACTTCTTCCTCACAGAAAGACAAATAAGAAGAGCTCTCAAAACAGTCTCCGCCTACCGCACGCTGTCGGTTTGTTGTCGCATCCCTGGCTTCACAATCGCTTTTCTCTTTATCTCGCCGCCCAGTAGATTAAAAGATATCACTCCCAATGTACAGGAAGGAATAGAAAAGAAGCAACAGAACCCGTCCTACCGACGGAAACGTCGCGCTGACATAAAAGATAACTTTTGAAGAAACTCGGCGTATCCGAATTTAGCGCGTTACCGCGTAGCGTAACATCTTCTGATGGCGTCTGCACCAAGGCAGTTCCACTCAATCACGCCGGCCGAATTGCTTTACGCGTTTTACATTGCGAAATGGGTTGCAGTTGACTGTATGTGCTCATGAATAAAATGTAATAAAGAGAGCAGAATTATTTATGGGCACGAGCGCGGTCAGCAAAAAGGACATGCAATTCCGATTAATGCCCGCCGCCCCAACAAAGAACAACTGAGCGGCCCTCCGTCAGAGGGCATCTAGCAAAGGGGGGGGTCCAACTGATGGGATTTAGAACTAGAACACTCAGCAGCTGTAGCACACCCCTCTCTCGTTGTGGAGTCGTAAGAGTGAGACAATCCCTTAGCTTGGGGGCTGGACTACTTGCACAAGTAAGGACGATCATGAATTGCTTGAGCGAGGGGGCTGTCTTCAAGGTACTTATTATCCACTTCCAGTTTGTCCAAGTCTTCCCTTCGATGCGACTTCTGGTTTGAGAAAAAACACAAGTTGTCCTACAGATACTCCGTTTATGTCAATTTTCTCTAAAGCTGTCTTGATCCTAGTACGCTTTCATCTTCTCGATAGTATAGTACGTAAGATCGCTGCAAATCGCTCTATCCAGTGCTGTTCATGCATAAACAGGAATGTGTCAACATCTGTACTTTCTTCCATGACAAAATGCATATATATAAACCCTAAGAAAGTCGACTAGCACCGCCGCGTTTATTTATCTAACTTGGTTTCCCGAAGCGGGGCTTAACGAGATCGTGTTAAGACCAAAGAGGCAAGTACCTTGGCCCGCCGCGGCATTACTACGGTTAGGTATGTTGCACAGACTGACTTTCTGTCGAACTTCTTCCAGAGCAATCAGCTTCTGTCATTGTTAACTGTTACTGAAATCTCCACATGGGTATGACTGACCCACTCTCTCTTCGCACTACAACATATCTCGGCACTATTTACCCTTTACTGCCCCAGCCATCCGAAATCAGGCCAGTTCCTGACCGACTTTTTTCTCCGTGGGCAGAATTTGCTGAAAACTTGGCTCCAGGGGTAGTTCGACCCGCTGAACACGAATATCGCATCCGCTTGACCCGAAACCTCCTGGCGCCCGCACCACGGGCACCGGCGCCAAAATACCCCAAATCATTGGCGCCTGTGGCGCGGGCGCCAGGAAGTTTCGGGCTGAGCGAATGTGATATTCGTATTCTGGAGGTCAAACTACCCCAGGAGACAACATTTGAGCAAAATCTGCCCACGGAGAAAAAAGTCGGTCAGGAACTGGCCTGATTTCGGATGACTGGGGCAGTAAAGGGTAAATAGTGCCCATATCTCTTTTGAGCTTTAGTATGAAGTAGGCAGGTTGTTAAAATCGATTCACCCTACAGCTCTACCTTGTAACCCTTAAACTAGATTAAAAATGCCTTGCATTTAATTGTGACTAGCTTTCCTTTAAAGGCAGTTGGCACGATGGTTTCCTTAGCCTAAAATGCTAGTAGGGCGCTGTATAGTGGGGAAATGGCGAAAGAACGGAGTGAAACGGTCAAAATCCTGCGAAGAAAAAGCCTCCGTTCTCAGTGACTTGTAAATCGATTTCGGACGAGTTTCCCGTAGGCATCTTACCAATCACCGCTACCGAAGATGGGCTGCATATGTGTACCCATGTATGCATGCTTGATAGGGCCCTTATAGGGGCACCTTCCTCGGATAAACCACTATGCAGCGCCTGCCCAGGGTCGCGGAATTCTATCCTGCCAGGAGTATTGATCCTAGTCGCCTTGGGGGATTTCATGCCAACTGCTTTAAGTCGGACCCGGAACAGATACGATTGACTTTTTCTGCATCAGCATAGTCGGATGAGTATGTTCCAGTCACTACCTTTCATGGCGCACCTTGAGTGCAAGAACAAATACAGTTGCTTTCGCTGCAGACGCTGAGGTGTGTCACAAAGCTGGGTTCGGGGCGGCGCCCGTCTGTGCACCAATCACTGAAGCAGAGAAGCAACAGTAACAAGTTGGAAACAAACCGGCGCCAAAACAAGCCCCTATTCTGACACACCAGCGTCTGCAGCGAAAATGACCATGAGTAACACACCGAACCTTGGCTGCAGAATCATCTTCGGAGTCAGAACTGCTTGATGATGACGCAGCTTTCTTTGCAGCAGGCGTAGGCACTTTGGGAGCTGGTTTGGCTGGCGCCTTCTGAAACAGCATTCTTAAGAAAGGAGGTATAGAAAAAGCAGATAGCGCAATAAACCTTTGTTGCGGGTTCATCTTCAGAGTCGGAGCTGCTTGATGATGACGCCGCTTTCTTTGCAGCGGGTGTAGCAACTTTCGGAGCTGGTTAGTGGTGTTTTCTGCGAAATTTTTGTTGAAATAGAATAAAATAAAATAAATAATAAATAAAATAATAATAATAAACAAAAATTCATATTGCACGACTAACCTTCGCTTCGGGTTCACCCTCGGAGTCAGAACTGCTTGACGAAGACGCCGCTTTCTTTGCAGCAAGTGTGACAACTTTGGGAGTTGGCTTGGTTGGCGCTTTCTGAAACGGCATTCTTAAGAAAAGATAAGAAAAGTACAGTAAAAGCACATAGCGCAATAGACCTTTGCTGCGGGTTCATCTTCAGAGTCGGAACTGCTTGAAGATGATGCCGCTTTCTTGACAGCTGGCGTAGCAACTTTAGGAGAGGGTTGCTGCGCGTTTTGAAAATACATTGTAAACGAAGTTAAACAGTAAACACTTTTATAGCACCAGAACTTGCGCAGGGTGGTCGTCTTCAAGTAGTCAGATGTCGATGATGATTCGCCTTCTTTCGCAGCAGTCTGGAACTATGGGAGTGTTTAGTGGCGTTTTCTGCAGAGTTCTTTCGAGAATGGATATTAAAAAGGCATACAGTTACGGGCGACTTACGCTGTCGGTTCATTTCTAAGTCGGTAAAACTGAGCTGATGATGGTTGCCGCTTTCTTTTGGAGCCGAGTGCAGCAGTTTTAGGAACGGTTTTGCTGGCGTTTTTCTGAACGCATTGTTAGAAAAGATCTTAAAAACGGATATACAATGAATTCTGCCGTAGATCCGAAGGCACTCAGTCTGATAAGGTATTTCGAACGTCAGTTTTCTTCTGTCAGGCCTAATCTTGGTTTTTTTTTGTTTTGAACATTGACATAGTGCATATTATGTCGCACTATTTGCTCATAAAGGGGGACCACAATTGTATACGAGATGTTCGTTGGAATTTTGCCTGCTGACAACGTTCTGATCGTTCGTATTTTTTGTGTGTCCATGGGTATTTCTGCTAATATATTTGGAATGTGGCCAGAAAAGCAGAAAGTCTCCGAGGTGGTTGCTAAGCAGCTGCGAACATCGCTCGAGACAATGCATGAAGCCAGAACGTACCAGTTTTTTTCTTATATACGACACCATGAACTCTAGTGAAACGAATGTTACATGCTTAGTAATGTTTCAGGCTAGGAAGAGGAAGAAGGAGACAAAGTCGATATTTGGTCAGAAAAATGGAGAGGAAAGGAAGGCAGTACATGTCCACAAAAATTTAATCGTGATATTTCAAAAATTTCTTTGATAATTGTTCTTTTTTGTTCATGTCGCGACTATCCACACAATGCGGAGACGTCATCTAAAGCGCAGTTGGACGGGGGGAGGGGTCGTATGAGACATTAAGAAAATCCTTCACGTTCCCGAGAAAAAAGTAGAGGCGCTACAGTGGTAGGACGCTCAGAAACGTCAGTGAGATGGCAGGTAGGGAGGAGAAGGGAAGTCGCATCTTGCGAAAATGTACCCCAGTGACAAGAAGTGCCCTGTTCAGGAATATGAGATGACCTATGAAGGGGAGTACAGCTACAAAGCACTCCACTACGTCGAAAAATCGGAGAGCCCTTGAGCAGTCTACCCATTTGTGGAGAGCCTGTCTGAGTTCTGTAAACCTCCGCGACGTCTCAATGGTCAACACAATGGAAGCCATTCCCACAACTGGCAGAGGAATGGCAAGACAGACCAATGGGGACTTAATGGCCAACAACCTGCAGTGTGAGCAAGGCTGTAGATTGCCCCATGATGAATCAAACATCAAGATAATGATTTTCGGAGCGTTTAGTCAAAGGTCTTGAACGACCTAGCCTGTCTTCTTCTTGGTCGCTTATTGCGAAACCTGCCGCAGGCGTTGGCTGCTACAGGGTCGCGAACAGTCCCAAGTCATAATTCTGCTGTTTATTATGGCTGCCTTTTCAAATATCGTACCACTCTTATGAACCCGGCAATCGTAAGCGAACCTTCTGCAGTACTGGCTCTTAATCATAGTCTACGAAAAAGAGAATCACTAGATCATCAAAACCTTTGCTGTGGTCTCATCGTCAGAATCAGAATCGCTTGATGACGAAGCTGCTTTCTTTGCGACTGGCTTAGCAACATTTGCAGCTGGTTTCGCCGCAGGCTTCTGGAAAAAGTCTTGGTGATGAATGAACAATTGAAGCAGGCACCCTTAATATAAACTTCAAACCTTCGGTTGCTCATTCTCAGAGTCTGAATCACTCGAAGACTCGGCAGGTTTGTTGGGAACTGCAGCAGCGGCCTTATGAGGAGCCTTCACCGGCGACTTCTGAAAGAAAGAGGAAAGTGCAAAAAAAGAAAAACAAAGACAGTCAAGCTATCATGATGACACATTCTAGTCTAAGCACTAACGAGTCCCCTACACTGACAGGAGAAACAACGCGATTCCCCTCGAAATGAATATACTGAGCGCTACGTTTTCAAAAAGCGGCACGATTTCTCGCCAATTACTGCATTTACATTTGGATTAGAACTTGGCGCCAAAAACCATAAGGGCATCTAAAGGGCTCTTGGTACAAAACTATACGAACATAATGGAGAAGAAGAATTTGCCTAAATCTGGAGCGGAGAAGGCGAGGAATATGCTACTGGGTGGTGAACCTAACCGAAGTAAGCTTATTCTATTCGGAAGGCGTTATTCGCGGTTCTGCGCAAGGAGGCCTTTGTATGACCCTCTCTCCAAGATTATTAGTGACGAAGTTCAGTGGGTACATTGGGCACAACTGCAGGCATCAAGCCTGCAGAAGTCTTTTTCAGGTGAGAAAGAACAACACCTGCCAAAAGAATACGCAGTAAATAACTTTGAATGAATGGACCTTAGCAGGAGCTTCCTCGTCAAAATCTGAATCGCTGGAAGAACCGTTATCTCGGGAAGCCAGCGCCTTGGTTTCACCGCAGTTTTCGCCACCACACCCTGAGTATCCAAATATCTCGCAGTACAAAATAAAATACGATCTGGACGTTAATAATCTGGGAGAAGCACTTGAAGGAATTCTTCTGCAAAGGGGAAATGAGCACTTCCGGCTAACATCTGTAGGACTTGTAACCCAAGGTCATGTACTGTAGTTCCATTCGGATGACGTCCACCCCACCTTTGCGGGAGTCCTCTATATGCTCCCAGCAATATTATAGGAGCCCTCAGCTCAATATGGAAATGACCATCAATATATTTTTTGCCGTTCACTCAAAAAAGAAGGAATCCTGAACGACCGAGCACAGCTCGTCTGAGCGGCCCTTTAACCAACTCATATGACTTCCTTTCGCTTTCATTATCGAATAATAAATACAGGTTTGGCCGAGCTACATATCAGTAAAGTTTACGCAGCCCAGACAGAAGACGTGGATAAGAGTACCAAGGTAGATTCTGCCCAAGATGCTCCTCGACGACCAGGAACAGGCCCCCTCCATCACCTCCATGTATACCAAAAGCTGAAGGCATCTGCAATCGCTGCTTGACTAGGGAAGGCCTACGGATCACGTCACCTCCAAACAGCTGCGAAACTTCTTGTATGGAGTCACCCATGGACAGCTACCTGGAGACCAGCACTCTTGATCTGGAAGACCTCCAACATCGAGCAGCTCCGACAACGTCGCCACGGTCCAGGATATCATCACCGCAGTCGCCAAGGCACGAGTTGATGGTATGGACTGAAATTTTCTAAGACCCCTTCGCTTACCGGGTTCGGGAGAAGCTCAACAGGGTGGTCTACAGTGGCGGAGAAATCAACGACCTCGCTGAACTCAGGCACCGAATCACGGTCGCGTGGCAGAATCTCTCGATGGCGTTCGTCCAGAAGGCTGTGGCGGAGTTTCGTGATAGTGTACAATGTGTTGTTGAACTGATGGTGGAAATGTCCAATCAGAATTTAACAAAGTGTAATTCCTATCGCCTTGAAAGTCGTGGGAGAAAAATGTCTTTTTTTTGCTCCCTCCCTTATGTGAGAGATAAGTACATATGCGTGAAGGATCGCATTACCTTCACTGGTGCCTTCTTCACGGTCGGTTTAGCCGTATCGGAATCGGACGAAGAAGAAGACGAAGATTTACCCTTGCGTTTT